CTTTGTATGTAATTAGCGATAGATTCCTTACTGAATTGTTTATATGATTGCAATTCTAACAAAAGATGTCCGTAATGTTTGTGATCGGAATACAAATTGATTAAAAATTCTTTTAATTGTCGCCAAGACGTGAGATTGTGATTATTTACTGCAAGTTCGGCTTTATCTCTTAATTGAGAACAAATATATGCATAGAGAATAGGATGTATGCTAAGTCATGTGCATTTTGACAATTTCTGATAAAGCTTTGTAATGATTCCCGATCTCCTGAATAGGGTGAAATAAATTTTAATAAAATTGATAAGGAAACTTCTTCTCTGACAGAAGGTGTTGTTGAAGTAACATGTGTAGGGTTAAAACGATTGGAGTAGCTCGTATTAGCTTGATGCGGTAACGGAACAGAGTTTGTCGTTAGATTTCGATTTGGAAATAACGAGAACTGATCGACTTGTGATGTCGTAAAAAGGGTTTGCATTGGGACATTTGGTTGTGAGATAGGATTTTCTTGAGACGAGGACGACTGTTGGGAAACGGTAGAGGATTGGTTGTCAGTACTTTGTTGTCCTGTCATTTGTGTCCTTAGTTGTGATAAAGGTAAATTGTCTTCATTAGTATCTTTCATGATTAAGGGTTTGGAACTTTTGACTCTTGTAAAAATTACTTTACAACCCGAAATTCGGTACGATTTTGTCGAATAATAGAGTTAGAATATTAGGTACTTACAAAATGAGAAAAAGAATCTTCATTCCTTCCTCGGATGTGGATCTCGATGAGAGCGACCTAAATGAACTGATAAAATGAAACCGCGTGTTATTTGCGTATAATTCACTTTCCGAATTAGCTTTTACTTTTAACACTGGTACTACACTATGTTCGCGACGGGTTGGATTTTTGTCGATCCTCCGTGTTGATTTTATTATTCTACGCAATTTTTTTCACAACGATTTTGTGCAGTATCCCGCTTCTGACACCAATTTGTAAAGGGTTCGCGTTTCCGGGGTCGAATCACTTAACACGTACGGGTTCTTTTGTCGTTTTTAAACAAACTCACATTTAAATACTCAAGATGATTTTTATTTCCAAGTCACGGTTTTCGATTTCTACCGCATTACAGTTGTATTATTAATATTGTTCTGTTTTTACAATGAGTTTGGGGATATATATATAAAGGTTGCTATCAGTACAAATATTAGGGTCTACTGTACTGGATCATCACATGATGTCCAAGGGTTGAAATCATCACATGATGTTCAAAAGTTTCCCATAATTATTAATTAGTTTAACAAAAGATGAAAGCTAATGTACATAGAACTAATATTAGAAATAATGTTGATGCAGTGTACATAACAGTTGAAATGTGCGTAAAGAACCCTACCCAGACAGCTTTTCCGTTTTTTAAATTTTGTAGTAAAAAAAAGGTTTTCGCTATTTACGGATCAATTTTAAATTTTCAAAAAGGTACATTAGTAGAAATTGTATTAAAAAAACCCTTTGCGCTTTGCATAAATAAAATATCTTAATAAACAGAAGTAAACAGGGGCAGAATATTTAAAAATTGTGGTCAAACAAACTTTAGGCCATTTTTCTGGTCCACCCAAATCTATAAGAAGTAACCGATAGAGCCCGTTCTTTTAAACCCCTCATAATCCGATCATAATATTTTATGAGAGTGTCCACCCTCTAAGGTTTTCTAAATTTTATCTGTAAGTCACAACTCCAAGTAAGAGGCAATTAATAAGATAAGATAAGATAAGATAAGATAAGTAGTTTATTTACGGAATAGAACTTTCCATTAGTACAAATAAAATAATAACTAATAAAATCTTACCAATGTACAAAATATAAAAAAGTTCAAAACAGACTTTTAAGTTTACATTTTCTTGTAGCCCCCTTCTAAGTACTTGGAAACACCCATTTTGTTAAAGATTGGTGGACTAATATTTACGATACATTTACAAGCCAATATATTATTTTGAAATCTCTCTCCAATGCAAATTTTTGTTTAAAAGTTGTTGCAGTTGGCATCGAACTTTTATTATTGGTAGCTTGAGTGGAATGAAATTAGGCGCAAAAGAATCGGCTCTTCAATTTTTAGTAAAATATGTAACAGTTCCATCTAGCGCCGGAGTGGAAAGGATCTTTAATGTTGGCGCCGATGTTTTTAAGATGAAAATTTTGAATATCAGTTATTTTTGAATTTAAAGTATGAATATAGTCTTCTTATATGAAGTACTTCATTTGTTTTATTTTATTTTATTTACTGATGTGGATATGCAACAAATGCATTAGTAAAATAAATCATTCAGTGCTTTTTTCATTCTAACACGTTTTTTCTTGACCCTTTTTAACCATATAACAAACATCTAAAGTAGTGTCTGGATCAAAATTTTCAAAGTGCAAAAAGTAATTGTTAAAGTAATGCATTACTTTTTAAAAGTAATTGTTCCAATCACTGGTTTCGTGATAACCTCTATAAAGTAAAAGCCAGTGGCATAATTAACATTCCGCAGCCCCTGCATCGCAGATAACCAACAGAAAAAAATGTAGATATTCTCAATTTCTCAGTACCTGCTTAATCTCGACTGCTTATGTAATTAGACGACTAAAAAGTTTCGATAACAAGCATCAGCTGTTAAAAGAAAATTAAACTGATTTTTTCCACCTCAAATCAGAAGAGAGGACCGATTAATAAATTAATCACATTCAGTTATTTCCCAAAAACACTAATAAATTTGAAGAACATCTATCCTGCAAGATTATTAGATGATGGACAAAGTTTTATTGACGATTACCATGCTTCCAATAAACTTAAGATATTTGCAAAATTTCACAGCATTCAGCTTTTACAATTTAATTTGTAAAATATTTTTAGATAATTTTGAGTTTTTTTCAAAAATCTGGGTAAATCAAGGGTAAAAACTCAACACGGATTCATAAATCACACATGCAGGTGCATGTCATTCTATATAATTTTAAAACATTTTTCGGCAGAATTGTATGATATAGCATCATGATTTTCGGTGAGGTCGTAATTGAGTAAATTTTGAGTAATCATTTATCTTCAGAGCATTCGGTTTTGCAATTTCAAAGTTAAATTGTAAAATACAGTTTTTAATTTTTTCCCAAAAAATCTGGATCTCTAGCGTAAAAAGTCAATACGGATTCTTCAATTACACATGCAGAAGTATGTCTCTGTCTGCTGTCCCGATTTTTATTAGACAGATAATCTTCCAAGGTAGGGGGCAAATTGTTATCAAATTTTGTATTTACATTAGGAAGATCATGTGGATGGTAAAACGTTAACCAAAATTTATCTAATCATCGCCGTTCTGAGTTTTTACCTAAAACGTCCAAATTTTTGGAAAAAATATCAGAATACTAAAACAACATTTTGCAATTTAATTTTGAATTTGCAAAACCGAATGCTTTGAAATCTTGCAGATGTTTTAAAGTTATGATAAGCATTATACATTTTTAATCAAAATACACTTGCTTATCCCCCCAAAAAATTCCTGACGTCGGCTCAAAATTTTTCCGAATAAATCCTATCTAAACTGTACAAAATATGATGAGTCTGTACTTGTGATTTATCATTCCATTTATATTTTTTGAATTTGCTTATACAGGCTAACAAAAAAATCGGTGAATGATCAACAGCATGGTGATTTTTTTATCAAAATGTATTTGCTCATCCCCTTAAAAAATGTATATCGTCACCTGAAAACATTGTTGAATAAATTCTGTCTTAGATGTGCAAAATATGATAGGTCTACACTTGTGATTTATCACTGCATGAATATGTTTTAGATTTGCTTATATGGGTTGTCTCAAGAAAATTAATGACTGAGTCAATTTTCTTATTAATTAAATCAAGAATTGTAAAACTGAATACTGAACTGAATAAGACGTTTTAAATTTATTGTAAGTATGGTACATTGTTAATCAAAATATATCTGTTTATTTCTCTCAAAAAATTGATGACATCATCTCAAAATTTTGCCGAATAAATTCTACCTAAAATGTGCAAAATATGATGAGTTTTTATTTGTGCTTTATCATTGTATTCATTATATTTTAGTTTTGCTTAAAGAAGTGGGTCAAAAAAATTAATGAATGAGTCAATTTATTTTATTGATTAAATCATGAACGGCTCACTCCATTTTCTCAGAAACTTTTGGGAATTCAATACTGTTTTTTTTTAGTATTACATTGCATTAATCCAAATTGATATACGTCTCGTTGTTTTTTCTTGCACTGGTAATACGCTGTGACTGCTTTTCTTTTGTGCTGTGACTAGTATTATCCATGTTGATGATTTGGGTACTTCGCAATTTTTATTGGTCAAATTAAGAACCAGTCATCACATTTTCTCGAAAATTTGAAAAACACGTCTTTATAATAATAACAATAATGTTAAAAAAAGAATTGTGGTAGCTCAGCGGTTTATTATTAATAAGAGTAATACAAATCAAAAGTAGGGTATGGGTTCTCGAAGGGGCGGCAATTCTCGTCGGGGATGGTGGTGGCTCCTGGGACTCGGAGCGTCGTAGGGGATGACGGCGGCGGTGTATGCGGCACAGGGGACCTGGACAGTGTAACCCTGAAGATGACGACGTCGGCGATGCGGCACAGGGGACCTGGACAGTGCGACCCTGGAGATGACGACGTCGGCGATGCGGCACAGGGGACCTGGACAGTGCGACTCTGGAGATGACGACGTCGAAGCGGCGCAGGGGACCGTGAAAGAGTGCAGCCCTGGTGATGATCTCGAAGCAGAGCAGGGGACCGTAAAACAGTGCAGCCCTGGTGATGATCTCGAAGCGACGCAAGGGACCCTAAAACAGTGCAGCCCTGATAAAGATCTCGAAGCGGTGCAGGGGACCATAAAACAGTGCAGCCCTGATGATCACCAGAAGGGGACTTAGACAATGCAGCCCTTAAGGTGGAGATGGTGGAGTTCCATCTGCCTGAAAATAGAGATGGGTCGTTACTGTAGGAACCGTTCCACTGTAGCGCTACCAGAGAACATAGAGAAGCGACATAGAGGCTGATTTTGCAAAACCACCCTTATTGACACTGGAGTCCTCAACTGCCAAAGGCAAGCGCCAAATTTAAATAGTCGACGCCCATAAAAACCTTGTTTCACTATAATTGTAATTCGTGTGACCTGAATGAAAGTCAAGGAAACAGTAAGCAGCTTGTAATATTCTGGTAAATTTACTGTCAATTTTTCGGAAATAAAACGCGTCATTAAAAATATGATGACATTTCTTCTAGTTACTTTTATCCCTAGTTAGAAACAAACACTGCTACCAACGTAAATTGAGGAGTCCGCAACCGTCATTTAATTTAAACTATGGCGCTTCTCTGTGTTCTCTGGCGCTACCATCGAGTAGCGGACTGTAGCACTCCTCGCGACAAAAGTAACACGTTCCACTCTGCGTTCCACTTGGAACTTGAAACGATATTTGTACGGGAGTCACGGGACGGAAATTCAAGGAACGAAATCATAAAACACGTTTGTCCGGAACGTTACAAGAAACGCAAATAGTGAGGGCTTGGGAACTGAAAAAAAAGAGAATAATCATTAAAATAATTGTGTGTTTATCAACACAAAAAAGATATCATTAAACGTGTGGTAGCTCAGTGGTTTATTGATAATAAGCAAACAATACAAAGCAAAATATGGGTATGGGTTCTCGAAGTGGTGGCAATTCTCGTCGGGGATGGTGGCGGCTCCTGGGACTCAGAGCGTCGTAGGGGATGACGGCAGCGATGTATGTAGCACAGGGCACCTGGACAGTGCGACCCTGAGATGACGACGTCGGCGATGCCGCACAGGAAACCTAGAGAATGCGACCCTGGAAATGACGACGTCGGCGATGCGGCACAGGGGACCTAGACAGTGCGACCCTGGAGATGACGACGTCGGCGATACGGCACAGGGGACCTAGAGAGTGCGACCCTGGAGATGACGACGTCGGCGATGCGGCACAGGGGACCTGGACAGTGCGACCCTGGAGATGACGTCGTTGAAGCGGCGCAGGGGGACCGTAAAACAGTGCAGCCCTGGTGATGATCTCCAAGCAGCGCAGGGGACCGTAACACAGTGCAGCCCTGGTGATAATATCGAAGCGGCGCAGGGGACCGTAAAACAGTGCAGCCCTGGTGAAGATCTCGAAGCAGCGCAGGGGACCGTAACACAGTGCAGCCCTGGAAACGACCAGAAGGAGACCGAAACAGTGCAACCCTTAAGGTGGAGATGGTGGAGTTCCATCTGCCTGAAAATTTTTTTTTTTTTTTTTGGTGGAGGGGAAATGTCTACGCAGACCACCGTAATGGTTCTTGGCCTCTTCTGCGGCCTACGGTGGTACTGGGGGAATGGTTACCGCCCTAAAACCCCTCCTTCTTCTGCTCGGGTGCCAGGACATTGTCCCTTACACCCACAACGCGCATCCCGGTAGACACAGCGGGGGCTGCGCTACCGAGCTCGGTTGAGCTATTGATTGCCTAGGAGTTGGCCCCCATCATCGGCTCTTCCTCGCGGTCCTGCGGCCGGTGGAGAGATCTGAAACAGAAAAAAATGCGCTATGCGCTGGCGTTAGATGTGCAACACCTTGGAGGCGATGCGGTCGGGAAGTTGGGAAGGCCGGGAAAGGCCGGTCGGTGGAGACGGCAGGTGGTGTTACTTGCCGATTCGGTCTTCAAGCAGCGCCCTGCGGGGCCGCTTGCGACTGGGGGGGGCTTCCTCGTCGAACTCGTAGTCGACGGCTTCTCGCACCAGGGGGTTGGGGTGCTCTTCAGCTTTCCTGAAGGCTCGGAGGGCGACTTCGTGCAGGAACTCCTTCAGCGGCGGGAGGTTGGCCTCTCGGAGCAGTTGGGCGTTTCTGACGAACCATGGGGCTTTGAAAACCTGTCGGAGAATTTTCGTCTGGATGACTTCCAGACGGTGGAACTGGGTTTTGGAGGGTTCATAGCTCCAGGCCACTGAAGCATAGGACATGGTGGGGCGAATGATGGCGCGATACAGCAACAACTTGTTCCTGATCGACACCTTACTGCGCCTTCCGATCAGCGCAGACAACGAACCCTTTATCTTGTTCGTATTGGCCACGATGTAGTCAATATGAGGGATAAAGGACAGCCGTTTGTCGACGATGACACCTAGGTATTTTGCTTGGCTCCGCCAAGGGATGACCCGGTTAAACATCGTGACGTTTCCTTCAGGCCCAGTACGTCTTTTCGAGATAAGAAGCGCAGTGCTCTTTTCTGGATTGACTGTAATGAGCCATCGTTTGCACCACTCCTCCAGCGCATCCACGGCCTCCTGTAAGTAGGAGGTTACGAGGTGCGGCATTTTGGAGCGCGTAAGGATAGCCGTGTCGTCTGCGTAGATTGCAAGGCTAGTTCGGGGGAGTTTGGGTATGTCCGCGGTGAAAACCGCGTACAGGAGCGGGGAAAGCGCCGAGCCCTGGGGGACTCCTGCGCTAATTGGATGCTCCGCAGATAAAGCGTGCCCAATGCGTGCTTTAAACGTGCGGGAATCCAGGAAAGATTGGATGAGCTGCACCATCGCCAACGGCACGCCTGCTTGGTGAAGCTTGTAAACAAGTCCATCATGCCAGACGGTGTCGAAAGCCTTCGCAACGTCGAGGAACACCGCGCCAGTCAATTGTTTCCATTCAATTGATTTTGCGGCGAATTCGACTACTCGGAGGAGTTGTTCGGAGGTTGAGTGTTGGGGGCGAAAACCGAACTGTTCATCGGGGACTACGCCTCGTTCGTTGACGAACTCAGCTAGCCGTTTCCGAATCACACGTTCAGCGATCTTCCCCACGGACGAGAGGAGACTGATGGGTCGGTGATTTTCCGGGAAAATGTGATTTTTCCCCGGTTTCGGGATGAAAATGACGTGGGCTTCTTTCCACCTAGCTGGAAAAATACGGAATTTAAACATTGCATTAATGATACCTGCTAGTGCGACGATGGCTTCGTCGGAGAGGTTCTTCAATGCTTTGTTCGGGATGCCATCTGGGCCTGGGGCTTTCCTGGGTTTGAGGAGTCGGATGATTTCGCGGATTTCGTCGGGATGGACTTCGCGGATCTGGTCGTCTTCGTCGGGTTCTGCCATTCGAATTTCTTCGACGGTTTCCTCGACGAGGTCCAGGTGCTCGTCATCTGCATCAGGGTCGATGTTCGTCTGGCATTGGTTCTCCAGACTGTGAGCGAAGGCGGCGGCTTTGTCCTCTTCTGTGAAGACGATGCCGTTGTTCGCGCTGTGGATCGGTGGAAGTGGCCGCTTGTCGCTTCTCAGCGCTTTGGCCATTTTCCAGGTCGATCCGTCCACGGTGTTCAGGGATTCTAGTCGTTGTTCCCACTGCTCGTTCCTAAGATTGAGCAGTGCTCGCCGGACTTCCCATTGGAGGCGGTTCGCTGCAGTCCGGTCGTCCTGTTCTCCAGTTCGTCGTGCTGTTCGTCTGGCTCTGTTTTTTTCCCTGATGAGATTCGCGATACGCTGTGGTATCGCGGACCGTTTGAATGGCCGCACAGGGCGTCGAATTGAGGTCGCGTCGATGGAGGCCCGGATACGATTTTCGTAGTCCAGGGTTGCTCTTTCGACTTGCTCGCTGTCCTGGAAATTCGTTACAAACTCACCAAAGTTGCCCTTGATATGTTCGGCGAATTTCGTCCAGTCCGTGGTCGTGATTAAGTTGGCCGCGGGATCGTTGGGTTCGTTCCCGATGCGCATAATCACCGGGAGGTGGTCGGAGTGGAGCTCGTCGACGACGTTGACGTCCACTTCGTGTCGGAGGTTCTTGACGAGGGCAATGTCCAAGACATCACCTGGTGCATCTAGTCGGGCTCGGTGGTAGAACGTCGGTTCCTCGGTGGAAATGACGTCTACTTCCGCGGTGTTTTGGAGGAAGGTTAGGAGACGCCTTCCGTTCGCGTTGTTCTGGCGGCTGTGCCAGTCCGAATGCTTGGCGTTGAAATCGCCAGCTGCGATGGTGGCCTCTTCGCCTGCGACGAGGTCAGCGATGTCTTCAACCTGGAGCGTGTTGGAGTTGTTGTAACAAGCGATTAGGCGCAGAGGCCCTCTCGCAGTCACAACGGTTACCGCCGTCGCTTCTAGTTGTCGGAGATCGGGGACGTAAGAAGAAGAGTGTTTAATCTCTTTTCTTACGTAGATGGCCGTTCCTCTCCCGTTTCCGTCCCGGCGTTCCGTTCGGTGCAAGGTGTAACCCGGCATCTTGGGATCTCGGGAGTCCCACAGGAGGTTCGTCTCGTTGACGAGGATGGCATCGAGCTGGTGGTCTTCCATGAACTCTTCGAGTTCATAACGCCCGCTCCGGAGTCCATTGGCATTCCAGAAGGCGATCTGTAATGAATTTACAATTAGTGGCGTACTACCCATCTAATTTTTAAAAAGGAGGGGAAGGAATGCCGCCATTTTCTCCGCCATGGACTGCGAGTCCTTGGCGGCGGCGATGGCGGTCATCAGTTGGGTCTTCTGGAGCTGCAGGTCGGCCTGTTGGCGAGCCGTGAGGGCGACCTTCTTGGGAACGGGAGCGGGTTTGGGTTTTGGGGTGGCCTTGGGGAGGGCACCGCGTTTGGGGGCGGCGGTCCTGGGGGCGGTCGTCTTGGACGATGTGGGAGGCTTCTTGGAAGCCTTCTGTTGCTGCGATTTGGGGAACTTGGGACACCCCTTGTAGCTGGCCGGGTGTGGCCCTCTACAATTCGCGCATTTCGCGGTCTGCCTGCGTTGCTTCTCGCAGTCGCTGGTCTGGTGATCGGCGCCGCACTTGACGCAACGGTGTTCGGCCCTGCAGTTCCGCTGGGAGTGGTGGAACCGCTGGCAGCGGTGGCACTGGGCAGCATCCTTCCTCTTATGGGGCTTCTCCACCTTGACGGAGAGGCCGCAAAGTGTCTTCACCTCGAAAACTTCGGCCTTCTTGGCCATAGGCATCTCGGCGAGGACGAGGGGCATCGGGCGGTCGTTTCGGCTCATCCGACTGACCTGAATTGGTTGGAGACCCAGAGACTCCAGGTCTTCCAACACCTCCTGGCTGGCAACTCCTACGGCGATGCCGCGGATGACTACGCGGAGAGTTTTCTCCTCCGGGAGCGTGAAGGTGTGATACTGCACCTTCATGTTGTCCAGAAGTCTTACCAGGCTTCTGAAGTCGCTCACATCGACTGGCTGAATCCGCACCCCTTCCGGGGTGGATTTCGCCTTCGAATACCGGATGGAGTTATCCGTCATCCGACGCGAAACTTCTGACCATCTCTGGCCGTCCCGCAGGATTATATCTGCCTGAAAAGCGGCCGAGTTGCCCTTTTATAGGCAGGGTTGAGATGCGTGGGAGTACCTGCACAATGAAGTAACTTCAGGTGGGGTGCGTTCCAGTGGGGGTGAGCTTGGTGGGGTTGATATCGGCGCTGCCGAGGACAGCGCCCTCGAGAGGGTACTAGCGGAGCGCTTTGAAAGCTCCGCTACAAACGTTTATAAGTAGGTATTTATTTTATAATATTTATGAAAAAAAAAAAAAAGAAAAACAAAATGTATGCAACGCAGATCAAAAGTAAAGTTTAACAATATAAATAAACAGATAAAATAAAAAGCAAAGCGGTTTTATCATAAAGCAATCGGCAAAATCAGCAAGTGTTGCATTTTGTTTGGGGGCGGTAATTTTTTGTAAGAATGCGACGGTCGATATAAATGACTCATTATCAAAAAAGATATAAAAGCTTAGGTATAAAATAGTTTATAACTAAATTTTAATTGAATACATGTAAACTAAACATTTATTATGCTCTTTATAACCTTAAAACATCTGCAAGATTTCAAAGCATTCGGTTTTGTTGTTCCTGATTAACTCAATAAAATAAATTCACGCATTCATTAATTTTTTTGAGTCACTCTGTGTATGGAAATCGAAAACATTTGAATGGAATGATAAATGACAAGAAGAAACTCACCATATTTTGTACATTTTAGGTAGAATTTATTCAACAAAATTTTCTGGCGATGTCACAAATTTTTTTAGGGGGGACGACCAAATACATTTTGATAAAAAATTTACGATGCTTATGATAATTTTAAAACATCTTTAAGATTTCAAAGCATTATAAATATAAATATGTATTTTCTACATTGTATTTATATTCTCTTAGTCGCACTTGTGTAACGGTCGTAATAAAGCTTTTGTTTTGTTTTTAAAAACCTAATTTGTAGACCCCCGAATTTAAGTTGCGTTCTGGTGCATTGTGGTGAACTCCAAGGTTGGAAAAGCGCCCTTTAATAAAACACAAAATACGGATGACATCATGACGAAAAAAAAAAAAAAAAAAAAAAAAAAAACTGCGACAAGTGCATTTTCGATAAGTTGAAGACGCCTTAGTTCTAAATTATGAAATCAAATCAAACATTCCGAATCAATGTAATTATTTGAATATCATAAATTACAAAAATTGGCCGAAGATTATTTCGACAGAACTTCCCTCGCTCCAGAAGGGTAATTAACACCCCTTCATTGTCTAATTCATTAATTTTTTTGAGTTATCCTGTATAAGAATTTCTAAAAATGTGTATAAAATGATCAATCCTAAGTTAGACGCATTTATATTTTCCAAATTTAAAATTTTAAAATTTTGAGATTAGCTTATCATTTTTTTTTTTTTTTTTTATGGGAGCTAACAGGTATATTTTGATTAAACATTTACCGTGCTTATGATAACTTTAAAACGTTTGCAAAATTTACTGCGTATAGTTTTGTTATTTATTGATGGGGACGACTACACAAAATTTGGTTAGCATTTTATCATTTATAATATGATATTGATAATACACATATAAAATTTTACAACAATCCGTTCAGTAGTTTCGAAAATTATCTGTTTAACGAAAATCCGGACAAACGACAGACAGATATACGGTAACGGGACACCCATTTCTTCGTACTTTAGGAGTCATGAAAAGTCGAGAAAATATAAGAATAGGGAGTCGCCCGTTGGACTCGATTACAATATTTTCTTAGCTCGGGAAATGAAAACAGTGAAAGGGAATCGAGTTTATTCGTACAATGAATGAAAATTTAACAAATTAATATAATCACCAAGTTTGTCGACATTAATAAATTGTAAGTAACTAACTGCGAGTAGGAAAGTCAGATTGTGGAACAAAAACTTTTATCAAATAATAAGTACCTACTTGTTATTTATCTGCCAATTTTGCTTTATATTTTTGTATTGTACTCAATCTAAATGAAGTGCGAAACCAATTTCTAGAAAATAGATTATATGTATATTAGCTACTACGACACAAATGGAAACAAGTAATTTAACACAATAATTGGTTTAAATAAGATAAAATGTCGTGATTTGATCGCAAAATTTTCAACCAAGGCGCCAATAAACACTTCATATTTTCGCTATCTTAAATCTAGGTTTTAAAATATTTAGTACTTCTATCCACCCAAAAACCAATGAATTTAAAATCTGAACTATGTACAAACCAATGGGTAATGTGTTTGTTGATTTATTATGAGTTATGACGTTTAAACAAAAAACTAATAGAAACGCTCATTTAATTATGCAAATAGATTAAATTTCACGAAGCACCATCGGATGACTATATCCGATGGTGCTTCGTCCACAAACACATGAAGTTGGTACACGATAGTTATCAGTAATAAAAATTAGTTTAGGAATATTGTTTATCCACAATCATCATTATAATGAAACTATTGTTAATGTTAGCAAAACTTTTATAGTCATATAAAATAATGTATATCTGAGTATTCGTTTTTTTAGAAAACGAAACGACGCGACATTTATCACGATTTACACTCTCATAATTCCCTGAAATCCATTCTGTAACCATGTCTATAGAATACTGTAGTTTATTGCAGTCATCTACATTGTTTATGGTACAATATATTTTTAGATCATCGGCATATAATAAATTATGGCATTGGTGTTTTTTTATAATTCTGAGACATCGTTGATATATACATACTACAAACAACAACGGGCCGAAGACTGAGCCCTGTGGAACTCCTGATAACAGTTTGAATAATGTTGATTTAAATCCCCCGTATTATACATACTGAAACCTGTCTGTAAGATAAGAACAAAAAACTTGAAAGTCTTGCTCTTGATAACATCAACTTATCAGATATGCTAACCCCACTATTAGAATATAGTATTTAAGGAATGTCGTTAAAAAAAATTCTAATTATTGTAATACGGATGATTTAAAAGTTTACAGTAATAAACGAATACTTTATTTGTAACATATTTCACAAAAGTTTTTGGTGATTATAAATTTCAAAAATAAGTGAACTTCCTGACGGGTAAGTTGAACATTATTGTAGTCAGAATCCACAATATACCTACACGTATTTTTTATTGTACATACATAATAATCATGCATCAAGCATCATTACTTCCAATTGCGTCGACCAATATGTATATACAAAGCTTAAGACCTGTAACTTGCATTTCTACATCTGGTAAACCTCCAAATTTGTGTTCTGATGGTACTTCTTGTAACTTGATGTACTCTAGTTGTGTTGAATTTTGCAACAATGTCTCAGTTATCAATAATTTTGGCTATGAATCGTGCCTCACTAGTGGTATTTTTTGTAGAGAAGTTTTTTCCACCAGTTATATTGTTTTTCATAACGATTGTTCTATGGATTGCACGGGTTTGTCTAGATAAAGTGATGACGTCCATGTTTAAAAAAAATAGGTCTAAAGAGTTTACACAGTACTTCCCTCGCTATGAGAAACGTGACGACTGCATGCCCATTATGTTTTTGTTCGCATAACATTTTAGTAGCGGGGCATTTTAAAACAAATAGAATTATTTTTTTTTAATTTTGTCATTATTTCGCATTGACATCTTTGTCATTTTTTTACTGTGATTGCTATGATTGCGTAGTAAAAAAAAAATGCACGAAGTTGTTTCTGGGGTGTATAATATGTTGCCTATGCAAAAAATGTCAGGTGTGAACAGATAAAGTGAACAGATAGGTAAAATGAACAGTCTGTATATTACTTGTAATTTAAGACAAATAGCCATAACACTGATATCAACCTATAGACGTGACGGTGAAACACAAACTAAACTAAAACATGGTTTCTACGAATTGCAATAACCGGTCATTTTTATTGCTCTGATTCTGACTTCCATTTATTGAATAAAACACTACATTTTATTTGGTTTTTTGATGCTGTAATTCACATTTGGTTAATTATAACGAGAAACGAGTATCAAATTGACCAATGGACTCCATTACTGTACGTCTTAGATTATCCTCGATAAGGAAAACAACTTGAAAGAAAGTGTTTATATTTATACGTCAGAAGAATGTCACATAGAAATTAGTTTGATTTGAATACATTCGACCCCTCAAAACAGAGGAACCAAACAATTAACTAGTAAGCTACAATCGACAAAATGTTCTGAATATCATTATTATAATTCTTATTAAATAAAGACGTTCGTATTTTCACATTTTCCCGAAAATGGGTTGACTCGTTCATAATTTGATCAACAAAAAATATTAATGCTATGATGAATCACAAGTAAAAACTCATATTTTGCACATTTTGGGTAGAATTTATTCCGCAAAATTTTGAGATAACGTCATCAATTTTTTGGGGGAAATAAACAGATTTATTTTGGATTAACAGTTTGACATGTTTACAATGACTTTAAAACGTCTGCAAGATTAAGTATTCAGTTTTGCAATTCTTGATTTAATCAATAAAAAATATTAATGAAGTGAAAAATCACAAGTACTATAGACTCATCATTCTTCACATATTTAACATAGCATTTTTCAGCAAAATTTTGGGGTGGCGTGATCAATTTTTTAGGGGGGACGAGCAAATACATTTTGATTAAGAAGCTGCCATGCTTACAATAACGTGTGCAAGATTTCAAAGTACTCAGTTTTGCAATCCTTGATCTAATGAAGAAAATAAATTGACTCATTCATTAATTTTTTTGAGTCACCCTGTATACGAAAATCAACAAAATATGAATGCAATGATAAATTACAAGTATAGACTGATCATATTTTGCACATATAAGCAATATTTTGAGGTGACGTCACACGTCATCAATTTTTTTTAGGTGGGATGAGCGAATATATTTTGATTCCAAATTTGCCATGTTTATGATCACCTTAAAACATTTCTATTTCTATGATTTCAAAGCATTCGGTTTTGCGGTTCCTGATTAAATCTATAAAATAAATTCACGTATTCCTTAATTTTTTTGACTCAGCCTGTATATGCAAATTCAAAAAATATGAATGGAATGATAAATTACAGACTCATCATATTTTCTACATTTTAGATAGGATTTATTCAGCAAACTTTTGAGGTAACGTCATCAATTTTTTGGAGGAGACAAGTACATATATTTTTAATGAAAACTTATCATGCTTATCATAACTGTAAACCATCTGCAAGGTTTCAAAGCATTCGGTTTTGTAGATTCCAAATTAAATGTCAAAATGCTCTTTCCTAATTTTCATTTTTTTTCCAAAAATTTGGACGTTTCGGGTAAAATCTCAATTTGGAGTCATAAACTACATGTGTAGGACTATGTTATTTGATACAATTTAAAACCCAATTACTATGTACAAGTTTGAAGTGACGTCGGTACATTAGTGGTGGGGACGACTAGACAAATTTTGGTTAGCGTTTTACCATCTACCTGATATACGGAATATAAATAGGAAATTTGACAACAATCGGCCCAATACTTTCGGAAATTATCTGTCTAATAAAAATCCGGGACTGCAGACAGACGGACAGACGGACAGACAGACGGAAACGAAAGACCTATTTCATCGTCCTCTAGAGGTCATGATAGGTCGAGAAAATGCAAAAGTAGAGAGTCGGCCGACGAACTCGCTTAGAATACTTCCTTTGCTTACGCTCGGGAAGTAAAAATCTAAATTATATAACAATATTTTGCATTTTAATTTTAAGTCCGTAAAACCGAATGCTTTGAAATCTTGCAGTTGTTTTATAGTTATCATAAGCATGGTAAATTTTTGATCAAAGTACATCTGTTTATTTCCCCCAAAAAATTATTACGTTATCTCAAAATTTTGCCAAACAAATCCTATCTAAAATGTGCAAAATATGATAAGCTTATACTTATGATTTATAATTATATCTATGTTTTTTAGATTTGCTTATACAGAGTGACAAAAAAAAATGTATGTGTCAATTTATTTTATTTAATAAATCAGGAACTGCAAAACCGAATGCTTTGCATTCTTGCAGACGGTTTAACTTATTGTAAACATGGTAGATTGTTCTCAAAATAGGTATGTTTATTACCCCCAAAAAATTGATGACGTCATCACAAAATTTTGAAAAGTAAAAACTCATTTTAAACATATGCTTAGCACGCTTCTTTACATATACTTCAAAATTACATACATGTGTTTATTTCAACTTATAGGAGTTCTCATAAAAAAAGTTAATTCCTAACATCAAATTTAATAGTTATGCGAAAATGCTGGATATATTTCACTGTGCTTCAGGTGCGAGAAAAATTATGTTGGAATTGTTTTTTGATTTATCTAGTTGCCTTAATATTCTTTCGCGTAATAACCACTTTTTAGAAATAGTTGGTTTTAATACTCTCTTTAATCATCCAAGCAGGTAATAGTGACCTAATTTAATTCAATTAACAATCGTTTTCTGGATTCAGTTTTTTCTAATTTTAATTATTGTAGATAAAGCCTTTTATACTAAGATACATTTTGAGATGTCAGCAAGACAATGCCAAAATGTGTCAATGTTGATATGTGAGATAAGAATTAGAGTGCAATCATAATAAAATTACTATTAATAAGTCCCAACAAATTTGGAGCTATAAACTGATTTATTGTGTTTTTTAAACATTTTGTATAAACAGTTCTTAAAAATATAAATATTATAAGGGCCACTAAAACCCAAATTTGCTTCTAATAGATTCACTTTTTTTACAATAATCGGAATACATATCGGTAGAAATATGGACACATTATTAAACCGCAACTTCATTTCCACACTATAAATTTTAAGTTACATTTACTTTTACAAATTTTGGAGATATTCTAAAGTATACTTTTTTTCCATTTTCAGAATTATTAAAAAATTCATATGGAAGTGATTTAGAATTTTAACAGCTTACCTTTGAGGTCGAGCCCATTTTCAATAAAGACATAAACTCGATGATCACGATTCCCATTTTTGACAACATGAGTAATTTTTAGTCAGTTTTTTTAGATAGTTATAGATATAATTAACTTCTATTGGAATACAAATGTAAAACTTTTAGTTATATTGTCGAAAACTGACACATACTGGTATCCATTTTTTCTGACCGTCGCGTCGTTAGTTTACTTGACTGACTGATATTTTTCGTAGCATATACGTTTAAATTGGCCACCATGGACTCAAGTTCCAACGAAGACGTCAAAAGACTAGAAGAGGAATTAAAACGTAAGACAATAGAAAATACACGAAGAAAACAAGAAAATTTGCTACACACCTCGCAACCCGAAGGGAATACTTCTTCTTCGTCAAAGGTATTATAAATTTGGATAGGTCAAAACTATCTTCAAATTCATTTTGATTATTAATTTTTACTCTCAATTGACTTGTTACATTTTTACAAAGACAAATACCAGAACTTCAATATTCAGCATAGGCAACATAGTAAAATCCTATATTGTATACTTAGTATAAAAATGAATTAAAACTATACAATTTTACAAGTGAACGTAGAGAACGTATTGAGAAAAATGTAAAGTTTTTGCCATATTGTTGTGCACCATGTGTTCAGATTAATTTTTTTACCAGATGATGTATGTCATCATCTCGAAAATTTCATGTTTCTTATTCACGGTCCATTATTTAAGCTCTAACAAAAATCATGAAAGTTTTGAAACTTTATCCACGTAATTGTTAGTTACTTGGAATAATTTTAAAGATAATAATTTACTTAATTAGATTAATTATAGCCTACAGATCTAACGGGAATAGAAGACACTCCAAACCAGCAAGCTGCTCTATTTGAAGACAGTCATCAAATTAAGGGAAACACCGAAGAAAATACACTTCGAGGAAACCGGGCTGGAAAAGGACAAGATGGTGAAACAAATAAAACTTTGTCGGAAAAGGTAAATCTATTAATTTGTGATGAAATATACTTTTTGACCGTTATTTAGTACCAGAAAAAAAATTGTAAAATTTTAAAAAACAAAAAAACTAAGAACTGTGTATTTCAACGTCTGATTTTTGAATAATTTACAATTAATGTTGGACGTAAAGGCTTTGAAAACACCTTTTTTTCGCGGCGATTTTACAATTCCAAAAAAAATATTAAAACTTGGATCGAAGCTGACAAACGCATCAAAAGGTCACCTACCTTGTTTTGTTCAGCCTCCTGGGTTGAGGGTTTGTAGACCGCATGCACAAAGGAACCACGTGTCTAAGTTTCGCGACAACAATTCGCGATTGACGTCACACAAGATGGCAACTGCGTTCACTTAACGCCCACCTTAGCGATGTTACCTCTCTGAGGGTTTCTCGATCACTCTGTTCGATAACAGCGCCAACCCCAAGTACCGGGCCTTTTTGCTCGGTACTATGGCGCCTCTAGTGGAAAGTGACCAAAATACACTTGTCAGCAATCCGCGGGATAACAAACAAAATCAAAACAAAATTTTAAACAAACTTCGAACCGGAACATTCCGCCCACCAAAAGAAAATTAAACAATTTTTTTTTTTTTAACGTAGGTTCCAGCACAATATAAGGTTAATTGACAATCTAAAAACTAATGACTAAAACTAAATACAATATGAATGCAAACTATTGACGAGGAAGCGGGCTCAGCTTCACTAGAGGACGTGTGATCAGGCCGCTAGTGGTACGTACTTGTGCAACTCGCACTATGCCGTCTTTTCCCGGGTGCAACGCGACAATTCGGCCAAGTTGCCACTGCAACGGGGCCACCGAATCACCCTTGATTACGACCAGCGTATCTACCGACGGTAGGTTATTCGACGTGTTCCATTTATTTCGTTGCTGCAATGTATGGAGATAACCCTGTTGCCACCTATGCCAAAAATCCTGGTGCAACCGTTGCACGAGCTGCCATCTACTTAATCGATTTAACCGCATTGCCTCCAACGGTTCATCGGGAACGGCCACTAACGGTCCTGTGGTTAAAAAATGCCCGGGTGTTAGAACCGACAAATCTTCGGGGTTATCTGCGGAGACGGGACACAGGGGTCGCGAATTCAACACGGCTTCAATTTGCGCCAATACGGTACTAAATTCTTTGAATGTTAGGAGTTGCTCGCCTACAACGCGCTTAAGATGCGATTTGAACGATTTAACGCCCGCCTCCCATAATCCTCCCATATGGGGGGCCGACGGGGCGTTAAAATGCCATTTGATGCCGCAGCGACCGGCCGCTGCTTGCATATATTTCTGAAGCAGATTATTGGCACCAACGAAATTTGTACCGCAATCGCTATATATGTCAGTACATTGTCCTCTACGCGCGACTAAACGACGTAATGCACCCAAAAACCCTTCCGAAGTCAAGTTGGACACCAATTCCAGGTGGATGGCCTTTACCGCAAAACAGACGAAAACGCAGACGTAGGCCTTCAACCGCGCCGCACGCCGACGCCGTCCCATTGTAATGGAGAAAGGGCCAGCAAAGTCCACTCCACAGTGTGTGAAAACCTTTGCTTGCGTTACTCGCGGCCTGGGTAGTTCACCCATAAACGGCGTTATTGGCTTTGGATTTACGCGAAAGCATCTGTTACATCGTCGAAGGGTATGTTCGATGGCGCGTCGGCTTGACAGAATCCAAAATTCCCGCAATAACAAATACTGTAATGTCCGGAATCCGACATGTAAGTGTTCCCGATGAGCGGCCTCTATGATTAGTTCGGTGAGACGGTGCGATCGCGGCAATAACAAGGGGTGCTTAGCTTCATAGGGCAATTCCGATTGTTGCAATCTTCCGGTGACGCGAATCAAACCGTCGTTGAGGAATGGGGTCAATTCGTAGAATGGTTTTGAACACGTGCCATTCTTTTGCAATGAACGAATTTCATTGGCAAACACTTTACTTTGTACCATTCGCACAGGTATTAACAATGCATGATGCAATTCCCTTCTGTGTACTTCAAGTTCCCTACCGGTACCAACTTCTAGGTCTACTTGTAGAGGCCACTCAGTACTTGTCAACCACATGGGATCCGCCCACCATAGCGGATGTGTGACACGCTCCTGTAAGAGTAACCCCCTCGAGGCGCAGTCGGCTGGGTTGTCAGGGCCGCTTCCATGATTCCATGCCGAAGGTTCGAATGTACCTTGTATGGGCGCGATTTGATTTGCAACAAAAGTGGTCCAAAAACCGGGCCGCGACTTAATTCCCGTTAGCGTTACTCTTGAGTCGGGCCACCCACACACCCTGTGTATGTTCAACACACCCTTGAGGGTTTCCCGGGCAAATGACAATAGGTCGGCCGCAAAGAGGCGCGACTCAGGGACGAGAAAACGGCGCACTGCTGACTCGGAGGACCGACCTAATAAGGACGGCGTCTTGTCGGCGAAAGGTAATTGAATGTTGTATCTACCCTGGATGTCACGTGAGATCGCCGACGTGACTTTTTCCTCACACCAAGCGTCTTGTGGGGCCGCCATACTGCGTTGTGAGCCCTGCTCAGGCTGCCAAAAGCGTTTTAATGCCGCGTCTACAGAGTTGTCTATGGACGTACAAAAGGACCTAACCGCGGTTTGTTGTTTGTTACGCTTAACACCCCCAATCAGTACCCACCCGAAAACAGTATTTAACGCGGACGGTTTCTCGAGCCCACCTTTCCTGAAGCCGGATGTCACGATTTGTCCGTAAACATCAGCCCCCAACAAGACATCCACTTGTTGTGGCTTACCGAATTCCGGGTCAGCCAATTTCAAATTACGTAGGTGACGAAATTGTCGCAAACCATCTTGTGACATTGCCCTTGTGGGAACGTCACCACAAATTTGAGGCACAACGACCATTTCAGCTTTCAACGAGAAGTTACGCACTAAATGCGACCTCACTTCGCATTTCAATACACCCGACGTACTGCTTGTCGACATTTGATTCAAGCCTTGAATAGGTACCACCGCGTTAGTTTGAGGAAGCCCTAAAACCTTTGCACACCGCTCTGTGACAAAGGTGGCCTCGCTCGCAGTATCCAAAAGCGCCCTAAATGCGCGATATTTACCTCGCGAATCCACCAAAATTATTCGCGCGGTCGCCAACAGAGTGAAACTATGGGTCGCAATCGCGTTAGTCATTACTTTGACACCGTCGTCGACCGATGGGTTCTCGAAGATCCCTGACGCCTCTCCCGGCTCGGCGCTAGGTTTGGGGACAAAATGTAACAACGTGTGATGTCTACAATCACAAACCCGGCAGTTTAATTTAGACGGACATTTGCTAACCGAATGCACCCTCGACAAACAATTGTAACAGATTTTTCTTACGCGCGAAAGTATGTCTATCCCGTGAAGTCCCACAAATCGACTTCATCGTACTGCTTCAACGCGGCCAAATTTTCAGAAAACACGTTTAACAAATTTCGCAACAAACTCGGCGAATCTCCATTCACTTTGGGTGCACTATAGATCGCTTGCCAATAATTCGTCAATAATACGCGCTTATTGTTATAACGCGCCACCAGCGCATCGAATGCGATAGCATAATTTGCCGCCGAAATCGGCAAATTCTTGATGACGGTAGACGCCTCGCGAGACAATGACGTCGACAAATATTGAAATTTTTCAATCGCGCTAAGATTTGGGTTGTTGTGGATAAGCGACCGAAACAAATCATAAAATGTGGGCCAGTTTTTGATCTGACCGTCAAACGTCGGAATTTGAATTTTGGGCAATTTGACGTTGTTTGATGTTAAATTGCTCCTAGGTGCGGATGACTGCGCGGCCTCGCGATTTAATTCGGCTGCAACCGATTTAATCGAATACTGCATATCGTCAAATCTTGATTGCACCTCGTATTGTTCGTCTAGCTGCTCAGGGGTGGTGCATAATTCGACAATCTGCAACTGTCGTTGCTCAAACTGGGCAACAATATGGTTTAAGTCCGCAGCTCGAATAAAAAACTCTCCTCGTACAGTTTCGTGGACTCTGGCTTGTTGCGATAGATTCACTAACGCCTCCACGCGTTTAATCAAACTGGCGCGTCCATTACTTAGCGCGGCGACGGTAGCCATTATGTAAGCTCGAATTTACGTATTTCGAAAATTTGAAATCAAATGAAAATGCGTGCTAATCACGCTTAGCAAAACTACAACAAATTTGTGCTGGAATCTACAAATCTCTCGTAATTACCCTAGATCCGACTCGAAGGACCATATGTTGGACGTAAAGGCTTTGAAAACACCTTTTTTTCGCGGCGATTTTACAATTCCAAAAAAAATATTAAAACTTGTATCGAAGCTGACAAACGCATCAAAAGGTCATCTACCTTGTTTTGTTCAGCCTCCTGGGTTGAGGGTTTGTAGACCGCATGCACAAAGAAACCACGTGTCTAAGTTTCGCGACAACAATTCGCGATTGACGTCACACAAGATGGCAACTGCGTTCACTTAACGCCCACCTTAGCGATGTTACCTCTCTGAGGGTTTCTCGATCACTCTGTTCGATAACAGCGCCAACCCCAAGTACCGGGCCTTTTTGCTCGGTACTATGGCGCCTCTAGTGGAAAGTGACCAAAATACACTTGTCAGCAATCCGCGGGATAACAAACAAAATCAAAACAAAATTTTAAACAAACTTCGAACCGGAACAATTAAGTATTGTCGATTTATTCACATTGTTGATTTCTGTTACAGATTTTTGAGAAACGAGCGGGAACTACCGACAAGGGTAAAAAATACGAAGATCTGGTTACCGCTAATGTCGCACTGCAAATGGTAAGCGACAGTAAAATAAGAGATTTCCACATTTCTTCGAACGATAAAAATTTTGGTGATTTTGACGACGTGGTTATTGAAATTGAAACCGATAGAGGAACAAAAACAAAAGCACTGCAATTAAAACACAGTATTAAAAAAAAACAATTATATATAAAGCAGCTGGCAGGCAAAAAGGGAGACTTTAGTTTAATCAAATATTTCAAATCTGCTCAAGAGATTCAAGGCGAAGTCCAAGAATTTATATTATTCACCACAAATACATTTGAAACTTCAGAAGAAACAAAATTTAAACTAGAAGGAGAAGAGTTTCACCTGAAGCCGATTAAAAAGACAGTTTCAGGAGACGATTTCGGCGTTTTAAGAATTTCTGAAAATATAAATTATTATCATATATTTCAAATCGTAGAGGACGAATGGACTAAAAAAAATCCCGAAAAAATTCAGCACTACCGAACATTCTTCGAAAGCTTTCGTCTTTATACCCACCAAGAATGTTTTGAAGCTCTTACAAAATCAACAATGGATAGATTTAATAAGATGTTTTGCTCTAACGAAGAAACTTTTAAGAAATATGTCGACGTCATATCGGAATGGAGTTTGAAAGACGGGAAAAAAGAAACACTAAGCAAAAGAATGATGCAACGTACAATTGCACTTCGTGTACTCTCCTCTCAGATTGAACCATTTGTTTTTGTTTCAGTCACGGACGAAATGAAAATACTTCGAGAGGCTATTTGTCTATTTGACATTACGTTGTTGGAAAAAAAAGGCAGCAACGCAATTAAACAGTTGTGGGGCGACTTGCACGAAAACCTTGACCTTACGGAACTAAACAAAATTCGATTACTTTATTCTCTTTCTTGTGATTATATAAGTAGTGTCGAAAATGTAGATGCAAATTTGTTGACACAATTGTTATGGCTGATGGAGAAATGTCCGCTTATTGTAAAAGAACACGACAATATAGAAAAGGCTATTAAGGTTTGTCCAGATGCAAAATTTATTATACTTGGCGAAGGAAAATATGAAGAATGGATGAAAGAACGCTCTGTCTTTCAAAACTTATCCAACTTGAAATCAAACGGTGAATTGCGTGACAAAATACTACAAAATTTCACCGTTTCTTTACAAGGGAAAGAAGCACTTAATTTGGTGACCGCTTTCGAAAAAAATGAAGAAATTTTCGAGCATGTTACTGTGGGAAATGTTTTAGAAATGAATAATGGTCCATGCCATGTAGATAGACAAAAGGAAGTTTTCCCCAATCTTTATGTCGATAGATATTTATCAGTCAATATTATAGATATTAAATATTTAGAACATGTTAATCGAAACACCGTTATCATTTTAAATTGCGACGGTAATTCTCAGCAATTGAAAATATCGAAAAAGCATACTCTAACAGACATTGACGGTTTTTTAAGTAATGCAGACGCCAAAATTTTTGATAACCCAATTTTTATTAGAAGTGAAAATAATTATTGGGATTCCGATTTTCAAAAAATATGTTCTAAAACACCACCATCTACAACCGTACACTATTTTAAATTTGCCAACCACGAAAACTTAGAATGGATTCGAAGCAGGGGCGATGTTAATGAATTGCGAAATTGTAAATTACCTAGTCGTTCCAAAAACGAAAACGAAATTTGGTCTTCCGAATTCAGCAACAACATAAATCTAATAACAGGTGACCCAGGAATGGGCAAAACCGAGTTGACGAAGAGTCTAAAAAACAACTGTTGCTCTAAATATTGGACGGTGATTCTGAGCGCTCAAGATGTTATGTCTTTCTTTAAAAATTCAGGAAAATCTGAAATATCACCAGACTTAAAACTATTCCAAACATTTATTTTAAAGGAAAAATATCCACACCTCACTGGAATGGAACGAGAAGTTTTCACAATGTGTTTAAAGCAGCGCAATGTGGTTTTTGTATGGGACGGCCTTGATGAAATATTTACTCACTATTTAAGTGGTACTTTAGATCTCATTCTTATGTTATCACAAAAAGGTTTCATTCAGTGGGTTACTGCAAGGCAACATTTAAAATCTTCTCTTGAAGAAAAATTAAATACTCTGTCAGTGAGTGTCAATCAGTTCAGAGACATCGAGCAAGACGACTACATTCAGAAACGTCTTAATAGTTTTATAGCGTCTGTAGATATAAAATCAGTCATCGAGAAAATTAAATCCACGTTTGCATTTACAAAACATATAGATATATTGGGAATCCCACTTCAAATATATATGCTTACAGAGGTATTACTTAAAAATAAGGAAAAATATTTTGAGTTATTAAATAATAAATTTCTGTTGACCGACATGTATCGTTATTTTATTGACGGAAAAATGAAGTTTTTCTATGAAAGCAAATATCCTGTTAACAGTGACCATGAGGAAAAAGAAGTTTGGAAGAAAAAAGAAGAAAAATTAAAACTCTATGAAAAGTTGGCGCTCAAAGTAATATTTCCTGAAGATGTTTTGGAACAATTAAAGATAGATTGTTCGCAAAAGATAGATTCTGTTTCTGAAGATTTCGCAACTGTTGGTATCGTGACTGGACTACAAAACGGTATTCCGCAATTTGCACATGCTTCTTTTGCCGAATATTTTGTTGCCTTATATTTTTCTAAAAATTTTGGATTGATTCAGAAGGACATATTTCTTGATCCAAAGTATAATAATGTGCGTTTCTTCTTCGACATGTTAACTAGCAAAAATTCACCGGTTCACATCGCGATTCTATACAGAAATTTTGATGAGGTGAAGAGTTTTGACGACGAAATAATAAAAGGTAAAGATCACTGTGGAAGAAGTGCCTTACATCTCATTTGTTCTTGGGGACAAAGACATGGGCGTTTAAAAGTACAAACAAAATTGATGGGTTATGTTATCGAAGCAAACGAGGAAATTATAAATGGTTCATTAGAAACGAAGGAATATTCTAAAGCGTTATTGTTTTTGTTAGATAAATGTGAAATATTAGAAGAAGATTTTTTACATATCACACCCTTAGCATGGGCACGAGAAAGTCAAAGTTTGGGAGCGGAACTCGAATTATTACAGTCGCGCAAATTACACCTAGAAGGCTCGTATAGTCGAAGTGACGAAATTAATATTTTATTTTTTGCCGCTTTGCACGGATACGTAGAAGCGTTTAAAATGATTGTTAACAAACAATTATTTTCATTTTTCAGTATTTTTAAGAAACAAGTAAATTTTATTGTTGAATTCGATGGCAGTACGCCGCTTATAATAGCTTCTCGACGGGGACAAGTAACAGTTGTAGAGTACTTCGTCGAATGCGGAGCCGAAATCAATCGCGCTGATAAATATGGTCGGACACCGCTTTTCGCAGCTTCCTCTCAAGGTCATGAAAAAATTGTCGAATGCCTGGTGAGATGCGGAGCAGAAATCAATCGCGGTGATAACGATGGTCGGACACCGCTTTTCGCAGCTTCCTCTCAAGGTCATGAAAAAATTGTCGAATACCTGGTGAGATGCGGAGCCGAAATCAGTCGCGCTGATAACGATGGTCGGACACCGCTTTACGCAGCTTCCCTGGAAGGTTACGAAAAAATTGTCCAATGCCTGGTGAAATGTGGAGCCAACATCGATCGCACTGATGTATATGGTATGACACCGCTTTACGCAGCTTCCTCTCAAGGTCACGAAAAAATTGTCGAATTCCTGGTGAGATGCAGAGCCGAAATCAATCGCGCTGATAAACATGGTCGGACACCGCTTTTCGCAGCTTCCTCTCAAGGTCGCAAAAAAATTGTCGAATGCCTGATGGAATGCGAAGCCGAAATCGATCGCGCTGATGTATATGGTATGACACCGCTTTACGCAGCTTCCTCTCAAGGTCACGAAAAAATTGTCGAATCCCTGGTGAGATGCGGAGCCGAAATCAATCGCGCTAATAAAGCTGGTCGGACACCGCTTTACGCAGCTTCCCTGGAAGGTCACGAAAAAATTGTCGAATGCCTGGTGAAAAGCGGAGCTGAAATCGATCGCTCTGTTGTATATGGTATGACACCGCCTTACGCAGTTTCTTCTCAAGGTCACGAAAAAATGGTCGAATGCCTGGTGAAATGCGAAGCCGAAATTAATCGCGCTGATAATAATGGTCGGACACCGCTTTACGCAGCTTCGTCTCAAGGCCACGAAAAAATTGTTGAATGCCTGGTGAAATGCGGAGCCGAAATCGATCGCGCTGACAAAGATGGTTGGACACCGCTTTACGCAGCTTCCTCTCGAGGTCACGAAAAAATTGTCCAATGCCTGGTGAAAGGCGGAGCTGAAATCGATCGTGCTGTTGTTTATGGTATGACACCGCTTTACGCAGTTTCTTCTCAAGGTCAAGAAAAAATGGTCGAATGCCTGGTGAAATGCGGAGCCGAAATCAATTGCGCTGATAATAATGGTCGGTCACCGCTTTACGCAGCTTCGTCTCAAGGTCACCAAAAAATTGTTGAATGCTTGGTGAAATGCGGAGCCGAAATCAATCGTGCTGATAAAAATGGTTGGACACCGCTGCACGCAGCTTCTAAGAACGGCCACAAAACAATTGTCGAATACCTAAAAAAATGCGGAGAAAAAGAAAAGTTCTCTGCGATATCTTGGATCAATTTTTAGCTGTTTTGATTAAAATTAAAATTTGTAGTATCTACATAATTTTTTCCCAATTACTGTGTTTTTCTTTTAGTTTTCATCATTTTTCGAATGTTTTTCAATATTTGACAAAAGAAATTCCCCAATTCCCTTTGTCAAAATTGTTTCTATTTATCACAAATGCTTTTCTTCTGTTTTAATAAACATTTTTTATTCTAGTTACAAGGACTGAACCAAAAGTAACACATTTTAATAAATATGTCTACATCTATAATCATGATGTTTAACAAATTATTTTAATGTGGAACTGAGTTAAGAAAAGGGCTCTATGGAGGTAGACATACAAGAAAATGTCCATGGGTTCGTATAAGTTGTTGAGTTTTTCATTTTTGTGAAATCTTACATTGTCCATTACAATATGTGCACCCCTAATATTATCTTCTTGTACGTGATTCAATAGAGTTGTTTAAAATTCCCCAGAAAACGGCCTTTCAGCTGAGCTCTAACGTTGTTTCCTCTACAGTTACTTCTTGCATGTTTTTATGTTCTAAATTCATCAATAAAAAAGGTTTTTTTCTCTTTCAACTATTATCCTGTTAATAGATTTCTCAGCGTATTGAAACCGAGTTTCAATAGTCTCTGGTGTGTTGCCTTTCTGGGATAAATGACACAGGTTTTAAGAAGTAATGAAACTCGTTGATAACCCTGTCTATGGTAGATAAGTTTATTTCTAGTTGAGAATTTTCTTCTATCAATGTGAATGAGATTGATAATTTTTTTATTTGCATAATTAGTCTTTTTGTTCTTCAGTTAACTTTCTTGGGCCTTGTCCAGCATTTCTTTTTTCCACTTGATTAGTCCTTTTGCAAGTTTTGTAGATAACTCGTTTATCAAAATTTATTCGTAGATGGCCTCCACACTTACCTATTTCTGCCGAATAAGTGATTTTTAAATTTTATAATATAACATGCTTCCCCGAAAAATCAAATTTTATAACAATATTTTACAATTTAAATTTGAAGAACATTTATTCGGCAAAGTGTGACTCATTAATCAATCAATTTGAGGAGAAAAAATTAGACAAATTTCATTTTCTTTTATCCGCTGTTGCTTGTAAACTACACGTGCTAATAATCGAATTCTTTCGAATTATTAAAAATAAACAGTCGAAGTTAAGCCTGTACTCAGCAAATGAAAATGTCTAGATTTTTTTCCCGTTGGCATCTGCTTTAAATATAGGTATCTCACTTATACAAATGAATATGCGTGTCCTTGCCACAACCTCAATGACAAAATTTCAAAATTTTATAATGTCACTTTAAAACTTTAAAAATATCTTTGTAATTCAATAATATGCATACACGTATATCTTTCATCTGTCTTAAAATAGTGTGAAGATTTGTGTTATCTTTATTTATTTATTTATCATCAAAATATGTCGAATTCGTACAAATTCCGGGACTGTATAAATAAAGTAAAAACAAAGTTTAATTTGAAATCGAAACTTGTTTTTAAGATTCACACATGTTTCACATTTATCGAAAAAATAGCTACAACCAAAAGAAATCAATCACTTATTTTCATGAATATATATTTCAATTGAATAAGCTAATTTGACATGACGACTTATTTTTAATGACACAAAATTTAGAACTTTCGATATTTTGCTGTTATCCCAAATTTTAATTAACTGACGACCACATGAATGCAAACCCAGCTAATCTTCAACTTTCACTTTAGGTGAGTCATCGTCTAAATATATTTAGGTTGTCTAACTATGAAATTTCAGTAGAAATTTTATTCGTGAGGCCTTCGCAACAATACGAAGAGGCGTACGTCCAACTTTCAAAATGCAAACAAAACACATAAACTAAGGTAAGTAAAAATATCTTGAAATTAACTTTATTAATTTAACTTTAAACTTTTCAGTGCAGGTGTTTCCATAATTTTTTAAAAGTTGTAACCAAAACTTGTGCCATTCGTCAATAATTATTATATAGGTAATGGATACAACATTTACCGTCAACTAATTTAAAAGAGGTAAATTTCCCGACGGAAGTACTTATTTTTATTTATAACATATTGCATTATAATAGATTCTTTCGTCCACGTCAGAATAACGAATTTATTAAAGCAGCAACAGGCATTGTAATTTCGGTCGAATCTCCACATCCACAAAACATGTTTGACGCGGAATCACGTTTCTAACCTCAAATTTTAAGAAATGGGTTTAATACCACCAGCCGATCTGAACAATATCAATATAACAGCGTTTAAAGGTAACTTTTAAAATTTTAATGTTTCACAATATCATAAAATATTTAAAATTGCAGTAAAACATACGCTGAACGACATCCAAACCAAAGAATCTATGCTAAATACCTACACCATCAGCAAGAACTTCATCTTGTCATCGTAACAGCTACAGGTTGTCCATACATTCCGAAATCACTACATAGAAAACAGTAGGATGGTGCAACAGAAAGTCATCTTAATCAAAGTAATATTATTTGTATGCCCAAACCACTCACAGGTAATAGCTATTTGTGTATTAAGAGCGCAAAATTATACATTGCCGATTGAGAGAGAAAGTTACGGCGCGACGAAGGAGCGCTGCAATCTCTCAAAATCGGCAATGAATTTGCACTCGTAATACACACAAGATTTTTTCTACAATCAAGACAATTTGCACAATAATTAAAAACGTCCCACTTTTACAAAAAAATTAATTTTATTTTCAAACGTCATATAACTGACACTTATATGACGCTCTTACCGGGGTTTAAGTGTCATTTCTATGACACCGTGTTTGAGCGGCGTATAAGTACTACTTATACTCCGCCGGCGTATAAATAAAACATTTATACTCCGCCGGATTATAAATATGTGAAAATCATAGTGGTTGTCAACTATAGTAACCACGGTAAATGAAATCAAGGAAATTCCTTAGTGAAGCAAGAAGATAGGAAATAATAATTTCAAAAGAAGATTAATCGTTTGAAAATAAAATATTGTATTTCATTCGGAGTTTAAGTGACTTCATGTGACTCGTATGGACTTAATTCGCCTCGCTATCGCTCGGCGTTTAATCGTCCATACTCGACACATAAAGTATCACTTAAACTCCTAATAAAATAAATATCTATTATTAACAATAAAACTCAAAAATTTGTATAAACCAAATTTTGTTTAGCTGTTGCTATGGAATGAACTGGCCAGTGAATATTTGATTAATTGGATTAGCGAGCGTTTTGTACATTTTGTCGCGCGTGAGCGACAAAGTGACGTTCCTCGGAAAACTTGACTTTTGCGGTCTAGTCCAAGCGTCAAATGCCTACTTTCTATATCGATTGTAGAAAAAGTCTTTTAATATATTAATAAAATATTTCAAACAGAGGACACTTTGATTAAGATAGTTTTCCATCGCACAATTAACTCTACTCCTTCAACGTATAATTTATTTCGTCGGTGTGTGTTTCGTATTTTGTACATTTTGTATTTTACTTTTTTTTTCAGAATCGCTCAACACATGCAGTTAAAGACGCATAAACAACTCGTGATAAAATCCACATGATTCTATTAAATTTTCAACATACGTGTCTTCTACCAAACAGCAACGCTAGATTTGTTGTTCCTGTTTTCACGACCCCTTTTTGTGTTTGCATCTGTTGGGCGTTTCCAGCATAAAATATTGAAAAATTTAGAAATGTGACCTGCCATGATACTTTTTAATTATATCTCAAAATTAACAAGAAACGACGTCAAGGGTCCATCGTCGGATATTATACTCCGTTTAAGTAACTTTTGTTCTCTTCGAGAGACAAAGTAGTCGGTGATTTACATTTATTCAGAGTGTTTTGCGCATTTCATAACGACTCCCCTTAAATGCACTCGTTTGACAAACTGGCAAAGTTTGTTTCAAAGGAACAGTGGGAAATTAATTGTGACCAAATGCTAAAGATGCTACAAGCATTGCAACTACGGAACTTAGTTGCCATGATGAAAAATGGCACACAGATGAAAAAATATTTAACAAAACTAAAGCACATAAATGAAACAGATTTTATTTTTGGGGAAATGATTGTTGACATAAGGCACATACAACTATTACAAGTTACGTCTTAAGTTGAGCAAAAATATCGGATACTGGCGGCAACCTTATCGCCTTTTTTTATTTAATCATAGTTTAATTATTGTAAAAAAAGTATCATGACATGTGAGCGATGTTTTCATTTCAGTTTATTGTAAAACATGTATAGACATAAGTTTAGATGTTACTAGTAATGAAACAACGATTACTCCAAACAACTGATTATATGTTTTCACAGAGTAATCAAATCTGTACATGGTAAATATATAGATATGTAATACAATAATTATTTTGTATATGTTAAAATAAATTGTTCAATTATTTTCCAAGATTAGTCACATCTGTACATTGTACATTATAACCCTAATTTCTTTGCGCACCCTTCTATGATAAAGGTGGCGTCGCTTGCGGAATCCAAAAGCGCTCTAAATGCGCGACGTTCACCCTGTGAATCTACCAAAATTATTCGCGCGGTCATTAATAGAACAAAGCTCTGAGTGTGAATGGCGTAGGTTTTCACCTTAACACCATTTTTGGAACCTCTAACCTCTAAGGCCTCCCCCGACTAGACGTTAGGTTTTACAACATAGTGTAACAACGTGTGATGGCGATTATCATATACCTGATAGTTCACTTGAGATACATATTTACTGACCGATTGCACTTTTGACAGACAATCGAAGCATAAGTTTTTCTTCCGTGCAATGGATGATTGTGTAAACTTTTGACGCATTTTTCTAGGATGGTCGAAGAGCGAGTAACAAAGGATAACGTCATGGGATGCTCAGCAGTTACGGAAGATCCAGCCACAGTATAGATATCAATCAGTAGAGACAACTCGCTATTTTTACTGACCCGTTTTCATGGATGGTCGTTTGTCTTGTGATCGTATGAGGGCGCGCA